ATTTTCTTTATCGTAATGATGATGATGGTGAGCAGGAAGAAGATAGACAGATAGATAGAGGATAGATGAAAAGCTCATTGATCATGTAAATCGGTGGCTGTGTTCTTTTGTGCATCTTCACTACTGGTGATTCTGGGAAATCACTGCAGGGCGGAGCTACAAAGCTTGCTTTTTGAATAAAGATTTGAAGTCAGGCACAGCGTAGCCACATGCCGCACTTTTCTACACACATGCACGCACACCAAATAATTATGGATATAACTGATTTAATAATCATAAAAATATTGTGAATAGCAGACACTAACAAATTTAAAATGAAGAGGAAAATATTTTAAGATGCTCTAATTGATAAAGAAAAAATTAAAAACCTGGATACACTAACAACCATTACATAAACCGACATGGTGCTAAAACCCTCCCCTTTTCACTTGCTGTCTCCCATCATCCCCAAGCTGAATGCTCTTGGAAGTGAAACCAAACTTTCAAGGTGCACGTTATCCTTGCCTTCAATAAGTAGGTCCAGGAAATGGAAATGGAAAAGAGGGAGAGGGGCCTGACTCGTATCTAGTGATCCTGACACCAAAATCAGGAGGGACGCTCATGGGCCAGCTTTTCCTTAAATACGGATGAGCGTCTCCGCAGCAAAGTGAGTTACTTCCAAGAGCATATTAGAAGTGACGATAAGGCTTATCCTGTAATATGCAAGAATGATTCATCATCAGGGACCTATCGTGAAATTCTCCACATCAATAGACTAAAGAAATGTTATATTATTGTTTCAGTAGATGTAGAAATAGCACTTGATGGAGTTCGATATTTATTCATGATAAAAACTCTCAGGAAAACCAGAACATAGTCTGGAAGAAAGTGCGTGAACAGGGACAGTCCATATAGTGAAGTGAGGCTCCTGTTTTCTTTCAGGTACTGCTGGGAGCCTCATCTCTCCATGATGATATTTGTATTTTGTACAAGATGAGTTTTATAATCATTAGAAAAAGAAGAACACAGTGTTGAGGCTTATAAACCATGATGAAGTTCCCCTGTCATCTGCACACTTGGGACCTATTGCAAAACGGCCATAAATAAACAAATAAATAAATCAACAGTGGGTGTTTCTGGAGGTTATAAATACAGACTACGGAACAGGAGAAATGGTCGAAAATGCAGCAGAGACAATGCTTGCGCTTTCTCATTGTGAAGGTTCTGAGAATGTGGGCAGGAGCCAACTCAAGTTCTTGTTTCTTCTAGTCTCTCGATGGCTTTGCCCTGGTCGTGAGTGCGGAAGGCATGATATTTTACGCGTCAGCAACGATCGTGGACTATCTGGGCTTCCACCAGGTAAACACAGCTCTTCAGCCTGCGGCGTGGTGGGTCCCACTGTTTGCACACGCTTACTGTCTTCCAGCCTCACACACCTGTAAAACCAGGCTTTTCTTATCACGCAGGTTTTATCAGGTAAGGATTTCCACATCCCAGCTTGGTCTAGGGCTCAAGGTCACAAGAGAGGTGTCCAGGGTGTCACAACTGTATTGGGCACTGACCTCTGCTGGCCGCGACCTTGCCACAGCATCACTGTCTGAAACCCCAGAGATGGGGCACATTCGGGAAATAACGTGTTCTGGAAATGCCCTTATTGATGTCCAGGTAATTCATTTGGTCTGTTGCCGCAGGCCTGCCCAGGCTGAATGATTCCAGACATTGGGGCAAGGCTCTGGGGTTGAGACCCACCAAACGCTGGATCCTCCTCCAAGAAAAGGTACAATAAAAAAAAAAAGGAGGAAGAACGGCTTCAGGGCCTGGCCTCTGGGAAGGAAAGGAGGTCACTCATGAGAAATCCAAAGTTTGAGCTTCAAGTCCAAATCGAAATTCATACTTAAAAAAAAAAATTTAATGCTTATTTATATTTGAGAGAGACAGACAGACAGACAACAGAGCATGAGCAGGGGAGGGGCAGAATCCAAAGCTGGCTCCAGGCTGTGAGCTGTCAGCACAGAGCCCGATGCGGGGCCAGAACTCACAAACCGTGACATCATGACCTGGGGGAAAGTCAGACGCTCAACCAATGGAGCCACCCAAGCGCCCCGAAATTTACACTCTTGTGTAGCTCAGAGCCCCAGGTCAGAGCCAGTGGTGGACAGATGAGAACGTGGGGCACCAAGAAGCAGAAACATGACCTTAGCTGCAGGGCCACAGCCGTCCCCAAAAAGATGTCCCCTCTGAAGAGGGCTTCTTCGTGCAAAATTATAAACACACTCCATGCAATATACAAACAGGCAGATTGGAGAAAGAACAAAATAGAACTTTGAAAAGTGAGGTATACAGTGTATCTGTCTGTCAGGGTCCTACCTGGAGACAGAAACTGTGAAGTGATCTGACTGGCTTAATATAAAGAATTAATGTGAGTTTCGTATAAAGAATCATTAACACAGGATCCTAAGGGGGTACATCCATAGACAGAGACACAGCGAGTGGAGGGGCCACAGGGCCCACAGGAGGCTGGGCACTCCAGCAAGGAGCACATTCTGGAGGCACCCTCATGGGTGAGGGTGAGGCCATGGCTCCTGGGTGGTGGAGAGGTCACCGAGGTGCCCCAGGCCAGGGCTAGCCAGCAGGGAATGCCCACTGGGATGCTGGCCAGACTCTGGGGGAGGCTACCTGCAGGCGGACCTGGCCTGGGTGTGGTCTCAAAGGACCCAACCTCCCTCCTGCAGTGCCCAGAGCACCTTCGCCAGTGGAGGGGAAATGTGTGCAGGATCCGGGATCAGAGCCAAGTGATGAAAGGAGCTGAGAGGCAGTACATGGAATTAGAAACAAAGATCCCACAGGACGGGTGGAAAAGCAAGGGGATGCCCAGAAGCAAAGGGCGGTGGAAGCCAAGATCTGAGAATGGGGGTCCCTGACACATGAAAATTCAAGTCTGCCTGAGGCCCCGGAGGCTGCTCGGAACATTTGATGCAATTTCCATGAAGACTGTCACTTTGAATCATTCCCAAAACTGAAGTGTCTGTCACTGCACAGATGACTCCGAGAAGTGTCTCGTCTTACACACGCCTCTACATTTGCTTTCCTGCCACCTGAACCTGGGACCGATGGCTGCCACTGACCAGGCCTCTCCCTGCCGCTGGCCCCGGGACAATCTTTGGACAGACAACGTGCACACACCCACTCTTCCACAGGGCAGCCGCTGGTGACAGCCGACCCTGTGGCCTGGACTGGCCCCTGCAGCACGTGGAGGTGTGGCTCCGGCAAGGACCCCACACACAGGGCCACCGCGTGGCAAGTGGACAAAATGCCGTGGGTGTGATCTCCAGGAGGTGCTTCCAGGGCTGCCCTGCACACCACGGGGACAAGCCTTGGCTCCGCTCTCTCTGAGCCTCCTTTTCTTCTTCCATGTGCAGGGCACGGGGCATTGGCACCTTGTGACACTCGGCGGTGGGGAGGCGTCCCCACCACCAGCCACGCCTCAGGGAGGTGGCCCGTGGTTCTTCTCCCACTGGCTGCTCCTGGCAGTGGGTGACAACTGGGCTCCATCACTGTGTCCTTGTGTCCACCTCCACCTCCTGAAGACATGCGGGGCAGGTGTTGGGGGATGTGAAGTGGGGGGAATGCATCACCCGCCCCAGACACATGAGCACCTGGATGGCCAGCTGAGGCCCTTCCTCCCCTCTTTAGCCCTCCCACGTGTGCTCTCAAGGTTGCTGTGCTCGCACAGCTCTCTGGCCTCGGGGCCCCCTCGTGCAGTTTGGAGCTCACGGACCCACAGATGGCCAGCACCAGGCTGCGGACACGACGTGATTCCAGCCCCCAAATGGCAAACTCTCTGTCTCCTCGATTGCGTGTGCGGGGTCTGATTCTAGAAAAACGTGGTCTGGGCTGCCTTTTCCATGCTCAGAACTCAACTTCAGTCCCTATCACTGTCTGCTGAGTTGCCCTGCAAATTCTCCAGACACACCCAGAACTGCCTACCTCTAGCCATAATCCGGGAGGTGGCTTTGGTGATGTGCAAGTGTCCTGAGGCGAGGCTTTGGTCCCAGGTCTGAACGTGCTCACTAGAGTCTGTTTTTTCGAGCTTGGTTATTCTGCAAGTGCTGGATGTAAGATAAAATTTTGCCTTCTATTATAAAGAAATTGTTTCCAAATGCCATTAAAATCAGGCATTGCCTCTATTTATGTAAAACATGTTCAGAAAATATCAGAACAGTTTTGTGCTGTCGTGAGCTCCTTGTGCAAAATACTTAACAGAAGTCAGGAACCAATTATTTCAGTATCTTCAGGTTCAGCAGTCATTTTGATGAACAGCTAGGTTTTAGAGCATGTTTTAGTTGCCGTTGACATTTATTGATTCAAGAAGGGGTCCATTCTCCCCAAGGCTGGCAGCTGGGGGAGAGCTGTCCCCGTTTGAACCAGGGCAAGGGCATGGGCGCAGTTGGGAATCCCACAGGCTAGGTAACAGGTGCGTGTGCAATTTGCACAAAAGGATGAGGGCTGCGGGGATGGGGCTGTAAAAACTGGTCATGACTTTATTCTTAACTCCAGAAATGGTAGTTTAGAGCTAAAATAAGGCTGGCTTTAGTTGACCAAAGCTGTGTCTGTTTTTCCACATTTTTTTTTGAGAGAGAGAGAGAGAGAGAGAGCATGTGCAGAAGCCCATGCATGCATGTGCGGGGGCGGGGGGGGGGCAGCGGGGCAGAGAGAGAATCCCAGGCAAGCTCCGCACTGTCAGTGTAGAGCCCGATGTGGGGCTTGAACTCAAGAACCGCAAGATCGTGACCTGAGCCAAAATCAAGAGTCAGACGCTTAACCGACTGAGCCACCCAGGCGTCCCTGTTTATACATTATTTGAATACTTATTCTACTGATCTCTCCACCACTTGTCACTGACCCCGCTTTGTAGGGAGCAGACTCCAGGAGATTAAGGGAGACCAAGACCAGTCAGATATGTCACAGTAGTTATTATACCTTTGTCGCCCAACCTAGAAAGTGTCCACATTGGCTGTGTCTTTCAATTTGCCTGAGTCAGAAATGTCTTTTCCGGTTTTATCATGCCCTCGCCATTGGTCTATCTCTTGTTTTCGTTAAGCCACAGAGCCCCTCTTACATGTTAATCCCACACATCCTTTCCATTAATTAACTCAGGTGTGGGGAGACATGAACAGGGCAGGGCGTCCAAGGACGCAACCTTCTGGGATTCTACAAAGCGTGGGGTCACCCACCAAAGCTCGCGAGAGAATGACCGAAAGACAGTGCCTGTTACAAACTTCCCATGGGAACTACGACTGCCCAGTGCTCGGAGGTCAGCAGTCTTTTCCATTCATCAGACTGTAGAGGGGAAGCTGCCATCCATTTGCAGCAGGAGGAAGAATACAGAATTTGCAGTAATGAGTCAACGAAGTGGTATTTAGTACCTCACACAGAAAATATAAAACATTATTTACAGAAATTAAAGAACCAGATAAACAGAACGACGTGCCATATCCATGAATCAGAGGACTCCAATTATCATTATAAAGATGCCAGATCATGTTACAGAGGTAATGACATTATCATGAAAACTAAGCAGCTCTTCTAGGTAGAGATAGATGAGCTTTTGGGAATGCAGAAAGTTGGGAGTCTCCAGGGCCAGGGGGCAGGAGTAGTGATTACTGGGACTTACACACCGGACACAAGACTTCCTGTAGGACCCAGTTGCTAGATGAACAGACCCCAAGACAGAACTGGAAGCTCACAGCAGGCACGTGTGCACCGGTGTGGGATTTACAATGAAGGGGGCGCTGTCCCGTGGTGGGGAAATAGCCATCTTGCCAACAAACAGAGCTGGGTAAACTGGATTTACACGGGAAAGAAATGAATCCTGGGGGCGTTTGGGGGGTCCAGCCAGTTAAGCATTTGACTCTTGATTTTGGCTCAGGTTATGATCTCACGGTTCATGAATTTGAGCCCCACATTGGGCTCTGCGCTGTCAGCATGGAGACTGGTTGGGGTTCTCTCTCTCTCTCTCTCTCTCTCTCTCTGCCCCTCCTCTGCTTGTGCTTGCTCTCTCTCTCTCTCTCTCTCTCTCATAAATGCATTTTAAAAAACTTAAAGAGAGCTTGATCCTAGCTCTTACCTCATAGCATGCACAATAAATAAATGGCAGAAGTTTCTAGAAGCTTCAGGACCCAGTTAGGAGATGGGTGAGGATGATGAGGGCAAGACCCCACCCATGAGGAGACAGACAGATGAACCGGCCGTGTGAGGTCCACTAAGAGAGCAGAAAGGCCAGGGAGCAGTGGCTCTGGCATCACAGCCCACGCAGTAGAGGACCCATGTCCAGAGCAGATGAGGAACCCACAAATCAGCAAAACAGCTCAATGGAAATTTGAGAGAAGGACACAAACAGGCGACACGCACACTCCCACATGACACGCATACATGTGCTCACACGCACACCTCAAGACCAAAAACGTGAGAAGATGCACAATTTCATCGGCTCACGACACACGGGTGAAGACCACGGTGCGGAACCGTGGCAGCCGCCACAGCGGCTCGGATGAAGAGGGCTGGGGACGCCTCGCATCGGCCGCAATGTCAAGCGACTGCGCTGGCACGGACCGCCACAGTGGCGTGTGGATCTGCGCCCTCACTCTGGAAGGGCGCTTGGCGCCATCCGCTAATGCTGGCCCTCTGCCACCCCTGACCCAGGAACCCCACCCCTGGGCGTGACTCGCTCAGACACAGCAGCGGCGTGTGGAATCAGGTGGAGACACTCACCCCACGGACACGAGAAACTGGCGCCACACACGCGGCGTGGGAGAACGTTACAACTGTGATGTGCAACCACAGAGGACGGACACTAAGAACAGCATTCCGTTTACGAACATAACCGGCCTACGGTGTGGGCAGTCTGTGCCATGACCGCCCCGGGGGGTGGAGGGAAGGGGCTCTGGGAAGCTGTTGTGTCCTGTTTCCTGATCTGGGAACTCACGCATCCACTGTATGCATATGATGTGGGCACTTTTCAGCCAAGTGTTATGCTGAATCACACTTTATTAGGAAAGCATCCTATGGGAAGGGCACGTGCGATCACAGGGCCACCAGATGAGGTGGGAGCTGGCAGGTGAGTGGAAGCCATCAGGTCTTGAGCTGGAGGGAAAGCCTGGTGCCCTCGCCTCCACCAGGAGTTGGTCTCTGCCTGTTGGCCTGACGTTCACACCCAGAGCCTCTGACGTGGACAACCGTGACCAGGGACAGCAAGCATTCTGGCCTGTGAGCACTTGTTTGTCTGAAGACGTCTCTTTGGACGAAGGAGTGCGCAGGTAATTGTAGTGCAGCCTTCGAGTTACGGTCGTGTTCCTTTTCCGCTTTCCTGAGGTTGTTTGACCTGTAGGGATCCCAGTGAGCCTTAGCCATGCAGCTATGGGCAAGAGTAGGGCCCCTTGAACAGACAGCAGGTCTCATCCATCTGGGTGAGAACACTGGTTACTTTCTGAAAAAGCAGCCTCGTTTCTGGACTTGATTCTTCAGGGACTTTCCCTCCGTCTAGTTTTCATAATGATCCTGTTGAGAAATGATGCAAACTTAGAAATGGCTCTTTCCAAAGAGGCCAAGGGCACCTGCCAGGTTATTCAGGTGTTGTTGGGCCAGGCTCTCCGTGCGGATAACGAGTGAGGGAAGGTTAAGGGAAGGTCGCGGGGAGATGTGCATGGCCTTCATCATTTATCAACACACTCTGAATACGTCTGCTAACGGTCAAAATAGTCACGTTCCTGGGAAGCCAGTCTTCGTAGCCCACAGTTGTGGCCGCTGTGCCCTGAAATGCAGCTTCCAAGTGTGGACCCGGCGCCTTCGAGGGCTAGCCTCTGTGTTCAGGGCTCAGGTAGGTGGGAGGACAGAGGAGCAGAAAGAGGGCTAGGGACCTGCAGGTCCTCGTGGTACCATGGATGGGAGCAGCGGCCAGGCACAGAGGAGCCAGGATGAAGGAAGTCCCTGGCCAGGAGGCCCGGCCGGGCTCTCGTGTGCTCTGATGGCTCCCAGTTCACCTGGCAGCTCCTGTCTCACCTTATGGCTCTGGTCTCACCTGGCGGTTCCCACCTCACTTCTTAAGGACACTTTCCTAATAAACTTTTGTGATATGACACAAAGTGTCCCCATGATAGACACACAGCTTGATGAGTTCTCCAGTCCTGGAGAAGAGTGGCTACCCTGGGCCCAGGTGTTTGATCTCTGAGCCTCCTGCTCTGCCCTCAAGGGCACTGCCTGGTGGATGAGTGGGGGGCTGCGGGCGGGTGGGGGGGCCTGGCATTCCAGGCTGGACACCTATGTCCTCCCAGG